TAAATGTGATTTATTGTTCAATGGAATCCCACCAATATCTAATGTCGTAAGTCTTGTTTCACCTAAAGTTTCCAATGAAATTATTGGTTTTGTTCCAATAAAGAATTTTAAACAATTACGGAAATATAATGAACGTAAATTTATAGATTTTGAAAGTAAATCTATTAAAATATTTTCATCAATATCACAAATGTTATTTGAAATATTTAATGATTCAAGATCTTTTGGTTGTTTTGATCCAAGTGATTGAAGGATTGATACTAAACCATCAAAATTTAATTTACAATTTGAAATATCAAGTTCTTTAATTGATGTCGTATGATTCTTTATTCCATTTGCTAATGTTTGAGCACTATCTCTTGTTATAGAACTATCACTTAATATTAATCGTTCTAATCCAGCCTTTCCGGTGAATAAAGCATTTCCGATCGCGGATATAGTTTCACTTGTGATTCCACATGAACTTAAGTTTAATGTTTTTAAACTAGAACTTGATATTATTAAATCATGTAATACAGTTGCAAGCATATTACATCCTGAAGAGCTTTGTTGAATTTGAAGTTCAAATAGATTGATGTTACTTAAAATAATTTCCGAGAGTAACGGATGATTTTTTAATGAATTAAATATTGCCATTAATTCATTGGTTGTATAAACTTGATTTTTTTCGTCTTTTGGAGGAAGTAACACGAATCTAAAAGGTAGATTATCAACACCTAATCCAAGTTGAACATTTTGGGAACCAAGAACGTATTCGATTTGAAAGGATATTCTAGATTTAGGTATGTTTAATACATGACATTGAGCTTCAATCATTCTTTCTACACCAGTTTCTTGAGACATTTTTCCAGTAGGAGAAGTTAAAGAGGAATCAGGAGAAATTGGAGTAGTAGGATTTGATTTGTAAGAAGGGGTCGCCCACCAAAAGGTAATTGAATCGATAACGGATTTAAATTCATTATTGATATGATCACTTAAAAGAGAAGAAATAATGATAGTTCGTTTCGAGGAATTATTTTTAAAATTAATTAAAAGAGTATCATCGATACTATTTGAACGAATGTCAGTGATACATAATAAAGGATATTTATATTTCCAGAAATCAATTTCTTTTATTAAATTAGAATTTTTTGCAGAGGAGATCTTGAAATCATTACTTTTACGATTATCTTCACTTGGAGTTCCATCATTTTTTAAATTACTTGGAATTATATAAAAATTATTTTTTCCTAATATCAAGAGTACGGGAGTTTTAGGATCTTTTTCGGATTGACCATCTTGATCTTCATTGGATAAAGATTTAAGTAAGACTCTATAAGCCACTAATTTATGTTCATTTACATCAGCCAAATCATCTAAAGAATTTAATTTGTTCATTAACCAAGTTCGTTGATCATAAGTTAAGAAAGGACCTCTGGGATTAGAATTGTGAACAGCGGAACGTAAAACTGTGAGCCATTGACGATGTTTTTGAAGATCAGGAGCAATTATAGAGACAGTAAGTTGTTTTTTTAGAGAAGACATATAATCAATCCTAATATGAGGATCCGGAGTAAGTTGTTCAGTAATGGCAAAAATAGTAGGTAGACAAAGAATAATATTTTCAGCAGGTAAAGTTCTTGTAGTTGAATTCAATATACCAGGTATAACAGGAGTACCAGGAGTACCAGGAGTACCAGGTATACCAGGACTATTTAAAGAGCTATTACTACTATCGGCACTTAATTTTCTATCACCATTTAATTTTCTTGGTAAAGTACAAAGAGGTAAGCCATCAAAAATTTTAGCGGCTTTATCGGCGTTTTTAAAAGCGCATAAACAATTTCTTGTTAAAATAAAATATTTATTTGAAGTTTTTTTAAGAGGAGAGGAAGAAGACCATTTAGCAACTTTAGATTCAAATAGAATAGGATCGTTTATATTAGGAGGAGAAATGTTCATTTCACTTAAATTCCTGAGATGTTTTGAGTTTCTCGGACGATTTAAAGCATCTTTCAAAGAAGAAAGATTTATTTTTCCAAGCGAGACAGATCTTGGAGAAGTAGGAGAGATAAGAGGTTTTGGGGTGAGAGGGGTGAGAGGTACAATTTCCTTGACATCTTTAAAGGCATCACGCTGAATGTCAATATATTCACTAGCATAAGAAGAAATCAATGAGAGTATTGAAGAATTATGGGTAGAATTAAAATCATCAGGATCATCGTCATAACTATCGTCGTCACTATCACTTTGTTCTTGTATTTGAGCCAAAAGTAATCGCTGTTGTTCTTCCATTCTTCGACGTTCTTCCAGTGACATTGTTGATTCTTTTTTCGTGGATACATCAGTATCATTTATATTTACGTCATCCTTTTTGCCTATATGACTTCCAGAAGTTGATTTATTCATGTTATTTACTCGTAAGGCTTTCATATACTGTACAATTTTTTTTTTTTATATACATATAATATGTAATTCTTTTTTATTTACAAAAGTTATTATTAATTCGGCTACCTGCTTATAATTAATGTAGCAATTTAAAATGTATTTTAGTTAGAAAATTACGCGTCATGGTAAAAATTTTTTGGGGTATTTTTTATAGAGTTTTGGGTAGGATTTAGGGTTAGGATTTTTAATAAAATATAAATGGGTTTTGGCGTTTAAAAATAAACATCAATATTTTTGTTTTCATTCAAATTTCATTATTGTGACATTTAAGTTTTTTTCTCGGAAATTTGTTAGCTTAGGAAAATCAATTTTACATAATTTCAATGAGGAGTAAAGTAAATTTATATTAAAAAAGTACATTTTAACAAATTTATACGTATTAACAAGCATTGGTAAGTTTTGATTGTGAAAGTTATGTATCGTTTTTGAATTTTTGCCAATCAATTATGTTACCGTATTGTCGCGAAATAACGCCCACCTGCGCGTTATTTTGAATATATGCGCGTTATTTAGAGTAT